CCCCCAGCCCAATGGCCCAGGGCCAGTAAATTTGGTTGGAGGGCAAGTGAAAATTTCTGTGGACTTGCCCGACAGGAAAGTGATATTTTGGTGCTGGATTGTAAAATAAGATGGTTTAATAGTCATGCATGAATTGACTGCAGTTTTGGTGAGATATACTTTAACATTTATGAACCAAACAAAAAGTTCTTGAAAACCAACTTTATTTTTCGTTTTGAAGAAAAAATTGCCGGTAGATTTCCAGCAGTCTTTTTATCAATTCAAACGATTTTTAGCTAACCTGGTCCGAAGAACCATGATAAGCTTATGCCATACCGCAGCGTCCGTGAACCGTCGTCCGTCTGTCAACTTTTCCTTTAAAACGCTACTTGTCCTGAACGGTCAAGTAGATTTTGACTAAATTTGGTCTGCAGCATCCTTAGGCCAAAGGGACTCAATTTTGTATAAACGGTGGATGTGGCCCCCCTTGGGGCAGAGGGGCTGGGCCCAATAGGAGAAATAGAAGTAAAACCTTTAAAATCCTTCTTCTACCGTGGGTCTGGCTCCCCTGGGGGCTGAGGGGCGGGGCCCAATAGGATTTGGTCCATATTTGGTGTGGAGCATCCTTGGGTAAAGGGGAATCAATTTTGTATAAACAGTGGGTGTGGCCCCCCTGGGACCTGAGAGGTGGGGCCCAATAGGGGAAATAGAAGTAAAACCTTTATAATCCTTCTTCTACCATAAGGATTAAGGGATTTTATCCTAATTTAGTCTGGAGCATCCTTGGGCAAAAGGGACTCAATTTCGTATAAACAGCGAGTGTGGCCTCCCTTGGGGCAGAAGGGAGGGGCCCAATAGGGGAAACATAGCAAATTCTTCAAATACCTTCTTCCTCTGTACGAATGACAGGATTTTGTCCAAATTTGGTTTAAAGCATCCTTTGGTGAAGGGGAACCAATTTTGTATAAACGGTGTGTCTAACCCCCTGGAGTCCCAAAAGGAGAAATAGAGGTAAAACCTTTCAAATCCTTCTTCAACCATCTGGATTAAGGGATTTTATCCTTATTTAGTCTGGAGCATCCTTGGGCCAAGGGGTCTCAATTTTGTATAATTGGTGGGTATGACCCCC